TGGATCCAAACTAATGTCAAGTAAACAAGATCCTCCTTAAAACATGCAGGTTAACATTTTATGAGTTGGCTCCTGTGTAGGCTGGTGCCTCTCTTACAGACATCTGAAAAAAACATCCAGGGACATGGGTAGTGAGGCTCCCAACTTTGTCCTCTTATCCAAGAGTGGAAGAAATTCACTCTAACACTTTGGAGGAAAAGACTCTGTCTACCACCCCAGTGAATGGGTATGGTAAGGACTCCTTAGCTCCACTAGTAAAATATGGGAGTAATATATGTTTGGGAGTTATGAAGAACAATGCTCTGGAAATAGTGCAATAGGTGAACCAAGTTCCCTAAATTTTTAAAAGCAAACCGACACTGATTTATTAGATGTAATGATCAGCAGGAACAGGCAGGATCCTCTTATGCTTACTCATGATAGTCCAGCATAGTACAGTACCACCCGGTCAGCCTTTAGGTGGTCTTATGGAACACCTCATTTCTACAGAGCCTGTTGCAACTTAGATAAAGTATATTGAATTAGTGGTTGCTAGTGTGGAATTGGTTTGATAAAAGCACACCTGCCTGGAAACATTCGCCATAGAATGGGATTGTGTGAAAAAGAGGTAAGGGACCCTGAAAGATAAAGAAAAGACAAGTGTAGCATTAAAAATACTCACCCCTCTGTATAATCTAGCAGAAGTTGTTAAGATAGCTACAGGGAATAGTCAAAAACCCTCAGATGAAGATACTGCCAGATCATGCAAATAACTTGAGATAAAAGTATTGGGGGAGGTCCACATACCAGCCTGCACAGTGTCATCCAGTGGGAAATTTAACTGGACTACTAGGGACATAGAAATGTGATGAATCTGATTAGATCAGACTCGTAGAAGATTCCATGCTTTCAAAGAGCATCAAGAATATGCAATATGGAACAATTTTGTACCCATCTCATCAATGTAACCAGGTATGAATCCTGAGAAACTGAATGATCCCAATGAATAAAAAGTCATCGTCTAACATCTATAAAGGCATTAGTGTAGGCAAAAAAACCTTCAAGGCCCTCACTGGATATAACAAATGATTGAAACCTAATCAATCATAGAAGTGAGAAGTAGTGGTCAGATGAGTCGGTGAAAAGGATTTAACTCCTTCCATGACCACCACTTAGGGAATAAGAACTGGTCTGAGGATATAGGTAAGATAATAAAGTGTCCTGTGGACAATCAGTGCAAAAAAAACTTCATCCAGCTATGTCTGTAGGTCAGCGGTAAAGAAAAATAAACCTTAAGGTAAAACTGAGACATGACATATGAGACCAAATTGTCAGTAGTTGGGTGTTCCAATGAGTGGCCAACCCACCAACCATCAGTTTTTCAAAGTGATAGCCAATACAAGGGAAAACCTTGGCAAAGGAATCCATATCTTGGTATTGTCCCAACTGAATAGCCTCTTGAGATCGAAGAATAGTCCTCAATAAGGAAACTGGGAAATCCAGTGAATCAATGTTTGTGATCCCTTGGTTGCATAAAGACCACTGAAAAGATCTCTGGTGTGCTCGTTCCAAAGGCATGAGGGATTTGAGTGATGCCCACATTCTCAAAAGAGAAAGAATCATCTATGCAGTGGAAGAAGGAGAGGGGAGTAAGATACGATTGAGCCCGACTGAGATACATCATGAAATCAAAATACCCAGACTGACGATATATTGATTTGAGGCAAGAATAGATGTCTCAGCTCTGAGAATGAAGCCTGTCTTGTTTTTTCTGAAAGTAGTATCCGGGTGTGACTTTTGACAATTGATAAGATGGTGCCAGTAGTAACCTGTTGTCTATGGAATGGTGTGTGCACAGTGCTAGGGAGGTGACTAGAAAGATCTCTTACAAATCGGCAGAACCCATATGGTGCTGATGCTACTCCAAAGGTAAAAACCCTGAACTGCAGTACCTGACCCTTGTGCACAAAAAATGCTGCCACTATGGCAATGTGCAGATAGGAGCCAACTACATCAAACTTGGACATCCACAATCCTAGTAAAAAATGCTATTTCAGATTGAGGAATGAGTCACTTGTGAACCTTGGAGAATCTAGGCATTGATACAGACAATAAAGATCGATGACTAGACATCAATCTCCTGTCATCTTAGACCCAAGAACTCATGGGAATAATACCCTGGAAGAACTAGCATAACTCTTTCACTCTACCCCCAGACCAACCAAACTCTGATAGCCATAGAAATAAGTTCAAAAATCCAAGGATCTGCAGAACATGAAAACCCTACAGGTTGGGTAAATAATGGTGGTTAAAATGTGAACTGGATGACTAATCCAAACTCAAGGACCTGTAGTACTCCTTGATCCATGGTAAAGGTTACCATTCTTTCAGAAATTCTCAGAACCAAGCCATAACAGACCCAGAAGGCATACAAGGCATTCCGACCGAGCAGCAGAACCCTTAAATATGGACAGAATCTATTCTGGGTACCAATATACCAAAGGCCAGGGTTCGGGAACCTCGATTAGGGGTGGAACTATGACACACTGTTGGAGCCAATGAAGGTCAAGATGCCAACAACAACAGGGATGAATGCAGAAGCCGACAATTGAAACACTGTGCATGCTAACAATGGTTTCAACTCATCATCAATGAAGTTGGTGATTCTGAGAGTCTTCCAACAAAGTTTAATTTTAGGAAAACAAACCATTGGATTTTACAGTTATAAGTCCATAGACTTACCATTGTCTCACCAGGGGACATTGATCTATTCGGGTTAACTACAAACTCTGCCTTCGAACCTCTAATTTTGAGGAGCAGATGTATTATTTGAGAATCGTAATATGCTTCAACCTAGTGGCAGTAAGCTAAATCATATAGTTCTGAGAACTGTGGAAGATAAAGCATAGCTGTCCCATCACGTGACTGAGCAGTAAACCTCTCTACATGAACCACAATGTCTGTGGATAGCTGTCCCATCACATGACTGAGCAGTAAACCTTCCTGGATGAACCACAATGTTTGTGGATAGCTGTCCCATCACATGACTGAGCAGTAAACCTTCCTGGATGAACCACAATGTCTGTGGATAACTGTCCCATCACGTGACTGAGCAGTAAACCTTCCTGCATGAACCACAATGTCTGTGGATAGCTGTCCTATCACGTAACTGAGCAGTAAACCTTCTTGCATAAACCACAATGTCTCTGGATGGAGAGAAATTTAAGTATTCAGCCATCAGTAAGGTGCAGGCATCTGGGGAAAGAACCAAATCATCACACTCTCGATGAACCGACTGAAGAAAACAAATCAGAGGCAGCATATCCCAAGGTGGCCCCCTTTTTTATTTCTTTTAAATACTGTGCTGATAACTGTTTTTTGGGACAACAGTTTGTCAGGTAAGTTTCTTTTATTAGAAAAAAACAAATCTGGGCCATCTGCTATGTCCACTATAGGGAATCAAACCCTGGCCATCAGCCTTGTTAATCCGTAAATTTGCCACTGGCCCACAGGGTATCTGAGAAGCCAACAGAATAAATGAAAGCACAGAAAAAAGCAATTGAAATTCTCTCCAGAAAGTCCAGAATTGCCCTCAATTGCAGCCTCAGAGCCCCCTGGAGGAACACCATCAAACTGAATATATGTCTCTATCTCACTACAAAGAAGATCACTGACAGGAGCCTCCCCCCCCTTCCCCCCAATTGTTGATATCTTTATATATCAGAGGTGGGTCTGTGCCGAATATAATAATCAGGGAACTCATACCGGCTTGCCAATCAAATTTTTTTTTTTACTAAAACCAACTAGGTAGCAATAAGAATGCTCAAAGTATCTACAATGATCGTAGTAGGGAGAATCCCATTAGTGAATGCTTTGTCAAGAAAAAGTGATAACATTATCTGAATGAGGTGCTTTTTTTACAGTACCAGGAGAGAGAGTGCATTGAAGTAGGTGGAGAGGGCCACGAGACAAATATTGGCAAGAGCAATTAATGGGGTATAAAAGACGGGAGCAAGCGAGAGAAATTTACACCAATGCTTAGATGGGCAAAGGAAGAAACCTTGGCAGTAAATTAATAACTGTAGTATGAGAGAAGGTAAATATGTTTTGGAAAGACAATTAACTAGTCTTTAGATTGTATTGGTATGTAAGTGTAAGTACCCTGGGACTGACTCACACAAGGTAAGGCACTGGTATGTAGGCGTATGTACCCTGGGACTGCCTCACAAGGAATAAAGCATTGGAATGTAGGTGTAAGTACCCTGGGACTGACTCACACAAGGTAAGGCACTGGTATGCTGAAATAATTCCCCTGGGATAGACTCCCGTGATGCCAAAGTAGTTACCCTGGGACCAACTCACACAGTATAAGTCATTGATATACAGATGTATTTCCCCTGGAACAGATGAATGTAGAATAAGACACTAGTATGATGATGTGATTGACATGGGACCAACTGACATGGGATAAGACACTAGTTGTGTAATTCATATTTAACCTATTGTAGCCTTTGTTTGAGTTAGTAAAATTAGTTTTGATTAGTTTTGTCTAACTTCCAACTTGGTCTATATTTTATGTTTCTTTTTTTTTCAAATGTTTTGTAGTGACTCATGGAACAGCCAACAGAAGGACATCACAATGTCATACCCTTAACAAAAAAAATAAAATCCATGATCATTTACAATAATAATCCATGAAATAACTAGTCAATGCTATGTCCATGACCAACTCCCTCAATGTCATATCCATGACAAAATAATTCAATATCATATCTATGGCAAAACTGCTCAACATCATACCCATTAAAAAAACACTCAATGTCATATCTATAACAAAACAGCTCAATATCATATCTATAACAAGATCACTAAATGTCATATCTATGAGAAAACACACAGTTTAAAATGATTCAGTATCACATAACACAAGTTCACTCTGTCAAAGAAATCAGCTATATGCACCAGTATTGTAACTAAAAACATTTTAAAAAGTGCAATATTTACTTAATAATGATCATCACCTCATTTCCTACAACAGCATGCTCTGTGAGGTCACGGAACCAAGTGATACTAGAGGGAACAGCCTGGTCCTCTAAACTGTATCTTACATCTGCTGTTTGTAATGTGTTTAGGAAATCTCCTGCCCCTGGTATTTCCAAAAGTTTCTTGTCCACTACTGCTCGAACAAACTAACAAATAAGAAAATCAATTCAATGAAATTAAAACACTTTACATTAGAAGTTAACATTTACCAACACTGATAGATACCTCCTCTAATATATATATAGCTTTCCTGATTCAGTTTTATCCTCTATATGCAAATTTTTCATTCACCACTAGTCGTAAGACTCCCTTTTAATCTCATGTGTTATGATATTGCTGCATTGTTGCATGCAACAACCTTCCACCAATAAGAATGTGATACCAGCTCCTATAGTGGTTCCCTCTATAATGATTGTTCAATCATCACTTCAAGATTAACTCTTTAAGCATGGAAGTGCTCCCTGGGACTGACCTCGTAACCATTTTGAGCTTGTTATACTTTTCATGCAGTAACTTTTAAATCAGTTGGCATATGTTAATGACATTTGACAGATTATAAGTAAACATTAAAATGCTTTCACACACAAAATATAAATTTTTTTTATTAAGTCTTAAGGTTTGTAAAGCAATGTTTTTCTCATGCCTTTTTTTTCTTTTCACATGTTGCCTATCCAACATGCAAAGAAATTTTCATTTGAAGATTAAAAATACTTTTATCCATCAGAAAACTATCAAATTTCACATATGAAATCTTTATAATGTCCAGATAGTTATCAAGTGTTTCTTAAGAAAAAACTTTATATTTTATTTGTTATTTTCAGTAACGAATCTCTGTACATGTTCACTAATTGTATCAGAAACTACATTATTGAAGATAATTCACTAAAGCTGCAGAAGTGAGAAATATTTTTTGTTTCTCTGCTACAATGTCTACACTGAAGTGTATAACAATGTAATGTAAAAATATTAATTCTATTCAATATCAGCTTTATTTTCATTATCTAATGAACAATAACCACTGAGGAATAAAAACAAAACATTTTTTACTAACCTTAATACTTTCTCCTGGCTTAGAACTTTTTCTGATTTCTCTTTCAACTTCTCTACACAACTTTTCTTTTTCTTTTTCAAACTTCCTTAACTCTCGTTGTTTCTGCTTTTGTTCCCTACAAAGCTAAACAAAGGAAACTTGTAAGAAAAATCACAATATGCATTTCTAAAGCACCTTCTACAAATATGAATGTTCAGTAAGCATATGATAAAGTAGTTCTTACCAATTTGAACATAACATTTATTATAAATGAAATTTACTAAACCAAAGTATATGATACAATTTATGTGCATTTAACATGTCACTGCTTATCTATTCAACATGTAAAAGTAAGCAGATACACCATAAGAAATACGACACAAAGAATACATCATAAGAAATATGACACAAAGAATACATCATTAGAAATACACCATAAGAAATATGACACAAAGAATACATCATTAGAAATACACCATAAGAAATATGACACAAAGAATACATCATTAGAAATACAACACAAAAAATACACCATAAGAAATGTGACCCAAAGAATACATTGCAAGAGACACCATATCAATATGACAAGTATGTCATAACAATATTGATACATCATAATACATGCACATATTTAATTGCATTCATCACTCATACAAAATTGTCTTATTTTAAGATATGTGAAACGAAAATGTATTAAATCTATAGCAAGTTTAAGATAGTACATTCTGGATCACAATTTTAATATAGATAGGAGACAACTCAATAGTGTGACTGATGAAAAGGATCTTGGCATAGTGGGGGATAAGTCAACATGGCTAGTAGAAAAGCTAGTAGAATGTTTTTAGGGTGGTTTTACAGACAATAAAAGTGAAAAGACATAATTATCTCTATATACAAATCATTAGTTAGGCTTTCTTTGGAGCATTATGAACAGTTTTGGTCTAAAAAAGGATAATATTTTATTAAAAGGTTGAGGCTGATTCTAGTGCTGAAAAGGTTATCTTATAGAGACAGATTAAAACCTCTATACCTCAGTATCAATCAGATACATTAGTCTGTTAGAAAATGTGTGCAAAATGTACAAGTTATAGATATATAATAAAACATATACAGTCTATAAGAAGTCCTGAATACTAAACAGTAACATTATCATATTACCTTCATTCATGAAGAAACATTATTGAACACAAGATCTTGATATCACAGATATAATACTTAGTGTTATATTACAAAATAAATTGTAATTTTTCTTTAAATACACAAAATACCTGTGCCAGTCTTCTTACTTCAGAAGTTCTTTTCTTGCATTTTGTTACTTTATTATTCGTTGATGATGCCAAGTTACCCTCCTATACATACAAAAAATACTCTCCTATACAAATGAGTATATATCCTCCTATACAAATCATTATATACTCTCCTTTACAAACAAAACATGTATACCCTCCTACAAAAACAAATATACCCCCTTTACAAACAAAACATGTATACCCTCCTATAGAACAAACATATATACTCTCCTATAGAACAAAACATATATACCATCCTATAGAAACAAACATATATACCTCCTATACAAACAAAACAATATATATACCCTCCC